TTCCCTGCTCAAGGCCTTTGCAGTTGTGAAGGGCCTGGTTGGGACCCCCATTGTAGAGGCCTCACAGTGTCCCCAGCTTCACTTTTCCGTGCATTATAGCTTGACGATAGATTGTCCCCAGCGGCTTGGAACTCCTGGCCGTAAAAAGTTGCCCGGAAACTTAAGATTAATGCCTTTATGCTTAGCTAATCACAATCCCTCTGGTCTAGCATTCTTTTCAGACTACTACCATCTTTGTTCTGGGTTGCTTATATCACTGGAGGACCACGTTACTAGAGGAATGGCTCAGTGAAGCACAACAGACCCCTCACTCCCACCCCCAACTGTCAGGCAGCCGCTGGAATAATGCCCAGATTTCCCCTTTAATACCCTAAGCAGGACTGAGAAAGGAAGGCGGTTTTGGTGGTGTTAATCTGCTCCCTTCTCAGATCACCAGTGCTCTGAAAAACAGTTATTCTAAATATCGCAACTCATGTACCAGTCTATTGGCTGAGAGGTACAGGCAGCGTGAACCCTGGACTCAGTGGCCCTCCCGTTCTAGTTTTTGTACCTACTCTGTTTGGCAAGACCCCTCTAACACCCTGGACACCCTATTCTTTGCACAGGTTGTTCTCTTACATGATTCAGGGTTCTGATTAAATGACATCTCAGAGGCCTTCAACCACCCTAACTAAAACAGAAACCCTTACCGTCACTCTCCAACCCTTTTTCTCCTACATGACCTCAATAGTCATAAGTATATTGATTTCTTGTCGTATCTCCCAATGTCTAGTGCAGTGACTTCTTGTATATAATAGGTGATCAAAAAATATTTATTGAAGTTTTTTTTACATAAAGTGGATCTTATTATTTGTACCTTTTACTATTCTGTAACTTGCTTTAAAAAAAGAAACAGTAGAGCAATTTATCCTGGACACCTTTCCATAACAAAATATAAAGACCTAGCTAGTGCCTTCTTTTTAATGATGCCCTAATATTCCATTGCATGGAGGTACCATCATTTATTTAGTCTCTGATGGTGTCCATTTAAGCTGTAGCCAATTTTGCAATTAACATGTATTTTTGCAAATTTGTTTTATTATTTCCTTAGGATGCATTTCTAGACTGCATGGTAAAGAATGAATATTGATTTTCGAAAAGTGAATTTACAACCTATAAAGGAATTTTAGAAATTGCCTGGTCCGATTCCTCATTTTGAGAAATGAAGGGAGATTACACAGCTAAGCTATTGAACTGAGTCTTAATTCCAGGTCTCCTAACTCTTAAACGACTTTATTGTTTTACCTTTCCTACAACTTTATTGTTTTACCTTTCCTGATTTGTATGGTATGAGGTAGGAGTCAAATTTCATGCTACAATTAACATTTTACTATGTGGTATGGGATACAGCGAAATATCATTTAAAGCATAGAACAGCCCTTCACGTGAAAGAATTTCTCCAATGTTTTCCTCTAGACGTTTTAGAAGTTGTAGTTTTAGTTCTTACTTTTAGGTCTGTGGTCCATTTTGAGTTAATTATTGTATATAGTGTGAAGTAAAAGTCAAGGTCCATTTTTTTTTCATGCGAATATCCAGTTAAGATAGCACCATTTTTTGAAAAAACTATCCTTTCCTCATTGAATTTCCTTGACACCTTCATCGAAAATTGACTATATATGCAATGATCTATTTCTGCATTCTCTATTCTGTTTCATTGATCTTTATGTCTATCTTTACACCACTGTGACACTTCTTGATTACTGTAGCTTTGTAATAATTGTAAAATTGTTATAATTTTTTTGTTATTGTTAAAATTAGGTAATGTAAATTTGTTCATTTTTTCTTTCAAATTGTTTTGTTCTAGAGCTTTTGCATTTCCATTTAAACTTTAGAATCTACTTGCCAATTCTGGTATTTTGATTGGGATTGCATTGAATCTACAGATTAATTCAGACATTGGGGTCATTATCTTAGCCTGATGCCATTGCACGCTGGAATCACTTATTGGTAATCGACAATTCTTCTTTGGATTCTGGGCTCATTAAACAACCAGACAGATAGTTTGTTTTCTGGAAGAGAATGCAGTGATTAGAGGATGAGAATGGTCAGTCTTTTCTGAAGATACTTTTTGCTATAAAATAACAAGCCAGTATTCTAGTCGTAGCATCATTTTTTTGTGAACTCAATATGAGTCTGCTCAGAGCAATAGTGTCACTCACCCATGCTCTGACAAATCTGGTTCTGAGTTTGCAATAATGAAATTGTATCCTAAGTGATGGTGATTTCTCTAATTTACTGCCACCTTGAGGGCAAACATGCATGTTCAGGTCACATCCCTCTGCTTCCTGGCCAGCTATCTTTGAAGAATGAAGACAGCTAGCTAGCATTCATTGAGGACATCCTAAGCACAGGACATGTGTACCTATGCTGTGATTCCAGAGTGAGTCTTTGCTTTAATCACCACCCTATGATGTCTTTGATAAGTCATTGAAAAATAAAATTGGTTGTATGCAGAATTGGTTCAAGCTGTTCTATGTTCAGTCAGTACATTTAAATTTCTGTAGGGCTTTGCAGTTTTTATATATGTTTTCATATATGATTCATTTAAAATTCTCTTTTATACATGGAATGTGCTTTTATATGATTCATTTAATTTTCTCTCTTTCTGCTCTTCTCCATCAAAATTCATTTTTTACTGACTTCCTGTTAGGCAGAACTACGTGAGTTTTGAAAAATGAAGGTGGAAGAGAGATGCAGTTCCTATTTTCAATGTTAGCAGTTGCTAGAGTCTACACAGAACGACAACAGCATGAACCTCTCTCCTTGCTTTGGTGAAGAGAAGAGAGGGAAGCTAACATTTCCTGAGGGCATTATGTGTCCTTCCTACAATTTAGTGCATCTGTAATGGTCTTTTCCTAATGGAGGAGGAGAGAAGGAAGGGTGTGGAGTTAGGATAACCACACAAAAAATTTTGCTGGCAGCCAGAAATTGAGAATTAAATTCTCGGTTAAAATGTCTGAGAAACAAAATGCCTCATTCCTAGAGGTAGATGGAAGACAGTAGCTGGGTTCTTGATAGAGATTACCAATGCCAGACCAGAGTATCCATGCTTTCTACTCCTGAAGTGTGTACCTAGGTTCACTTGTTCTTTCATTCTTATAGATGGACGTGATCCTGGTACAATCCTGGGAATTGCAGAGCTGTGCAAGAATGAGCCAGAGCTGGTCCTTGCCTTAGCAGGGAAAAATACAACATAACAAATGGAAGCATGTATCTCTTCCACTTACTACAGTTTCTAGTAGGTGCTTGATACATGCCAAGTATTTGCTGAAGAGATAAAGCTCAAACTTGAATGCAGAGATGAAAGGATTTTACAGGTGGAGAGAACAGCAAGGGCAAAGGCACAGTGGGAGAAGCACATCGAAACATAAAGTGACTTTGGCTGCAATTCGGAAGGCCACAGGCAAGTAGTGAGAAGTAATATTTTGAAAATCATGTTGGGAATCACTGAAACTTGTATTAATTCAATTGATTTGAGTGTGCATGTATTAACTCGTGTCCAAATCATGCTGATTGAGATGTATTTCTCTTACGCAGGGTAGGCCCAGTTATTGTGAAATTAGATGGAAAATGGGATGATAAGGGGGGTGGTGGTGGTGGTGGAAAAGATAACAGGAAGATAGAATTGAGAAAGAGAGAAATTGATAAAAACTGTCTTTGTTTTTCAAAAGTAAGACTATACCCAGGCAGGATATTTAGAAGGAAGTACCATAATTTAACATTTTTCATTAATTAGAAAACTCTAATTTCTAATTTAACAAAGCAGTGAAAACAAACAACCTCCTTTCCTTCACCAAAAACCCCCTCCTTTGGCTATTCCACAGAACAGCATCGCCATCACTTGGGAGCTGGTTAGAAATGCCCACTCTCAGACCCCAGCCCAGATCCATCTAATTAGAATGTTCATTTGACATGATTGCCAGGTGATTACATACACATTACAGCGTGCGAAGCCCTGCTCTAACCTACTTTACTAAGAGCTAATATTTTGCTGAAAGAATTTCTAGCTGGCGTCGAGGTTCCGGCGTCTTTCACCAGATGGCAGTAGCCCTCTCTCTTCCTCCGTGCGGCAACCCCATTGTTCCAGGCCGCAGTTAAGCTCGGGGCTCCTCGGGAAGACTAAGGCTGGCCTTGAGCTGGCGGAGGCGTGTCCCGGGGGCGGGACCGGGCCTGCCCAATGGGCTCTCCCGGGCGGGGGGCGGGGCTCTATTTCAGCCGCTCCTCGGGCCGCACGCGCGTTGCGCCTCCCGGGTTCAGTATGTGGCGCGCACTCTTTCGGTTCTGTGTGCACCCTGCAAGGGACAGCAAGCTCTCAGGCCCTTGGGACAGGCCTGCCGCCTTCATGTCCACTCTACTCATCAATCAGCCCCAGTATTCCTGGCTGAAGGAGCTGGGGCTCCGCGAGGAGAACGAGGGCGTGTATAATGGAAGCTGGGGAGGCCGGGGAGAGGTATGCGGGCGTCCTAGGAAATCTTTGCAGCCTCAGTTCTCTCCGGGGGGCCCGGCGGGCTTTGCTCAACCAGACTCCCCGCTGCCGCCGTAGGCGGTTATACTAGATGGGAAGTTTGAAAGCTCCACAGTAAAAGTTTCCCCACGTAAGGTGCCTTAAAAATACTCTTAGATTTTAGGGCCTTGTGTACTATAGAGAGTCGATGTCGTTTTGGAGCTGGTTGGGGTTAACTCACGCATACTTAAAACCTTAGGGCAGAGTTCTGTTATCTGTAGTGAGAAATGCCACACGCTTAAAGATGTAAATTATCTTAATTTCGTGTTTGACTGTGGCTCCTCAGATGTGACATGCCCCGCAGATAATGTTTTATTGTATAGTTTTATGTTCCTATTTTCTGAAAGTCTTTGGCGTTTGCAAGCTCGGACTTGGCTGAAATTCTGTTGTTTTTGTTGGGCTCTGAGTTCCCTTGAGGACAGGCTTTTCCGCATTTCTCCATTTCTTGAACCTAACACCGTGCCTGGCACCCAGTTAAATCTCAATAAAACGTTCTAGAATACGATGGAAAGAGAAGGAAATTATCGCTTAGATATTTTGAGAGCCACATACAAAAGAAAGCTTTTATAAGAAAATGTTACATAACATGCAAGAAATTTTGTTGCATGTTATACAATGAATCTGCTTTGTCGGTGGAAACATCTTCCTTTTGGTTATCTGTGACTGCAGGAGACGCAGGTGACTTTGGCAGCCCCACCCCACCCCCTTGTGTCCCCCATCGGTAGTTTCCTGTTTTTCCTATACGGAATCTCTAATTAAGTTTATGGATAAAATACCCTCTCCTGAAGCGCCTCGCCCCCCTTTTAAACTATGCTTTGATTTTTTTCTTTCTAGTTGATCTCTCCAATTTGTGTGATATACAGGCCTTTCCCATAGTTGTCTGGCCTTGGCTATTTCACCTTCTGAACAGAGGGGTGGGCAGAGTAAGAGAGAGAGGAAATAAGTAAAACTCGAGTTTGGCGTGTCGTTAATGGAAAAAGAGACAAAATAACGGGTTACATTGAGGCTTTTATTTATGTATCTAATACTTAGATAGCAAGGGTAGGTTTTGCAGAAAAGTAGTTCTGAATGTTTAGGTCAAAAATGAAAGACAGCTCTGTAGAGTGGCTTATTTGTAACAGAAGTTAAAGATTCTGAGTTTGGATACGCTTAGTCTCTTATTTTTTCCTTCCTCCCTTTTTTCTCCCCTTATTTGGTCTGTTCCCCTGTTTGGAAGGGATTACATATGATGGTCATCTTTTTGTTTTAAGGTTATCACTACCTATTGTCCTGCTAACAATGAGCCAATAGCAAGAGTCCGACAGGTAAGTGTTTTTTTTGTTTGTTTGTTATGTTTAATGCAAGCTGCCCACAGGGAGTTTGTGGGAGTGATCAAGAGTTATACAAAATTACAAAGTCAAAAAATAATGTATTTCTTTTTCATTGACATTTAAGAATGGGAGAGACTGTCCACTCTTTGGGTAGGAGTGTGTGTGCCCTAGAAAAAGTAAACCGTAGAGAGGACTAGGGAGAGGGGATCCCTTTAAGGCCATACTTCTGAATCACCTGGGGACTTCATTAGAATGAAGATTCTGACCTCTTAATTCTGAGTTGGAGCCCACAGTTCTGAAATTCTAATACGTCTCAGATGTTGTTCCCAGATGAGTTTAATCGACCTTGCATAGAGAAACAAGATTAAAAAAAAAAACACAGCTAGATTCTACCTTGTCTTACTGATGTTAATGAGGTTTTGGAAGAGTAGGCTGTGAAAATCATTCTAAACCACAAATCTTAGGGGTCACCCAGAGATTTTCGAATTCTTTCCCAAAAACCTGTGTTCTTAGAAGGAGATCATCACTTCCCTTTTCCTTTGTCTCCCCCTCATTCCTCATTTAGGCCAGTGTGGCTGACTATGAGGAATCTGTAAAGAAAGCAAGAGAAGCATGGAGAATCTGGGCAGAAGTAAGTATGAGCTTTGTTGTTTGCTAAGAGCCTGCCTCTGTGTGAAGCACAAGTAACATCTTTCCTCTAATTCTGACCATAAGTTAGGCTCAGTGTTCTGTTGTACACGATCAAAAATATCTTTGAGCAGGAAAATACCACTTCCAAAAGTAAACAGTGTGCTTAAGTAAAGTTCACCCTACCTGGGTAGAGAGGGTAGTGTCCAAAGAAGTGTCATTGGATTTAATGTTTTGAAAATAACTTTTATCATTTTCTTTCTGATCATAAAAATAATACATATTCCCTGCTTAAAAAAATTGGATGATGCAGTAAATAATATAATCGAATTTAATCCCCTTACTTTCTCTTCAGTACGGAATGGTTATTAGAGTTATGTTTTGGTGCATTTCCTTCCAGTCTTTTATGTGCTAATTTCATAGTTGTGATTATTATATATACATACACATATGCATGTTATATGTAAATTTTGACCTGTGATTGCATTATGTACCAGCCTAAAGTTACTGTATAATATTTAAAAATCATCGTTTTCCTGTACTCCATTTTTTTTAAAAAAAATTTTTAGAGCAGTTTTAGTTTTACAGTGTATAGGAAGAAAAAAATTCCCTTCTTCCATTCTAGGTTCTGTGGTTGGTCTAATCATTAAATTGACATAAGACAGATAAACAGAAAAACAAATTTTAATTTTGTACATAATGCCCTCCCCCAACCCCCGTAGATATGAGACCCAAAGGCAGCCAGGCAACTGATGCTTATAAAGCACCCTGAGTGAAGGAAATGGATAGGGGTCTGGGGCTTTAAACGAGAGAAAGGCCATTCACAGGTAGGTGAGAAGAACAAATGTTTGATAAGCAAATGTATGCCTCCCCCTGCAGATCAGTCTTTCACATATAAAAAGTTATCTCTAATAATAGCTGTCTTCCTGATACAGGCCCCTTTTTTAACTAAGTTCTTCTAGGAAGTTAAGGGGAGGTAAAAAGCTTTTCCAGGTTTTCTGAATTTGATGGGTCTTGAGTGCCTTTAGCATAAAGTAATCCGTATGTCAAATTGGCACATTCTGGAGTGACTTGTTCTGAGCCCCCTCAACAGAAAGATGAGCAGGAAGTACAGAGATTCCCTCACATACCTCACCAGAGATACCCTCCCCCTCACTCTTTGTGAGTTTCTCTTATTATTAACATGATGCATTAGTGTGATACATTTGTTATAATCTGTGAGCCAATATTGGTACATTATTATTAAATATATAGTCCATCATTTATATTAGGATTTATTCTTTGCATACCCTGTTTTGAATGCCAGTGAAACATTTGACCAGAAACATTTATGTGTATATAATCATGTTTGAGAAGACTGTAAATTCAGGGTCTTTTCTTTTCGTGATGGGTGGGGGGGGTGGTTGGCAGCTGACATTGTTGTGTCTTTCTTAAATATTGTGCTGTATTTTGTTGTTGTAATTATTGTTGTTTTTGCATTCAGGATCTTATTCTGTGATCTGCTCTTACTCCACAGTGCCAGATTCTGCACCTCACATTCCTTCTCACACTTCTCACACTTTTAGACTTCCCAGGAGAGTGGGTGCTGCTAACAGATTGCTTTCTTGGGTGATAGTAGAGTCAGTTAGGGATTTTACTTGTTAGAATTCAAGTTAAGCAATTGAGTTCAAAGTTTAGGAAAGAGGCAGAGCCTTTCATAACTGTGCCTCCGGGACACCTGCCAATGGGGGCAGTGACTTAGAGCAGGGGTCCCAACACCCGGGCCCTGAACCGTAACCATTTGTGGCGAGCAAAGCATCACCTGTATTTGCAGCTCCTCACCAGCGTTAGCATCACTGCCTCAGCTCCACTTCAGGTCATCAGGCATTAGATTCTCATAGGAGCACTGGTCCCTGGTGCAAGAAAGGTTGGAGATTGCTGGGTTAGAGGCTGCTGGGGCCTCAAGTAAGAATGTACCAGAGCTTGATCCCCTCCTGGTCTGTTCCTTCTTGGGTCTTTACTCATGTGAAGCCCCTAGTTGGCCATGATCTTTTTGGCTGGCTTTGCCTGTGTGAGGACAAACCACTGTTTCAATTAGTTCATTTAGTTAAGCCTGGAATTTTTCAAAGGGAGCACTTCTCTAAGGGAAAAGGAACATGGATAAAAATATGGAAAGCTAGTTTATAAAAACTGATTTCTTTCTGTTAAATAAAACTAACCACAGAGAACCTAGTCTGCTGCTTTCTTTCATGAACCAGCTTCAGCCCAGAAGCTACCTGTTTCTGCCCCTCTGCATCTCCTATCCTTCCTCATTTTTCCTCTTTGTCTCTGGTGAGGGAGACCCAGAGTCCCTTCTTTCTCTGTTGAGAATAGGGAAATGTCAATGGGTCATCTCTAACTGAATAAAAGAATGCAAGACACCTGGTAGCTCCTAACATGAATATCATCATATTATTTCCTCAGAGACTCAGCTAATATTCCCCTCCGTGCTCGTAGTTCTCGCCACGTGTCTGTCTTTGATGCTCATTCTGAATGTGACTTCACAGGGGAAATATGCAGAGACAAGGACTCTTGTTGCCCACCTCGGAATGGTCTGAAGTTCCTGATGCCCTGTCACTAGGACTGATCAAGCTCACCAGGAATGGGGGCTGTCTTCCTTGTTTCCTACTCCCTTCTCCATTCCCTCTCCCCAAACTTAATTCTGGCAGTCTCAATTCTTTCTATTCCTGCAAATCATCTGGGAAGCTGGAAAAAAGTGCCAGATTTGAGTGTTCTGGGATGGAATCTAGTCTTAAAGGTCCTTGGGTGGATTCTAATGTATAGCCAGGGTTGAGAATCGATCAGTTACCAATTTTTAATTATCAAGTCTTGAACATCTTAAATGACATTTCTCTCTTTTGTAGTTCAGACAGCAACCATCTCTGGTCTGGCCTAATGGTCTTCCCGCCTGAGTCTTGTGTCCCTCCAATTCATTTTCACAACTAGAGTCATTTTAAAATGCATTGTGACCCCCCACCCCCACCCCGCTTTAAAACCCTCTTACTAATTTCCCCACTGTTTTTTGGATTCTTTACACAGCCATTTGCAGTGTGTCCCCTACATTCCTCTCCTCCTTCTTTGAACTCTTTACAAAACCCCCATGTGCTTTTTCACCTTTTGGCCTTTGCATATGCTGTGTTCCCTGTCCCCCATAATTTTATTCTACTTTATCTCTTCACCTGGGCAACACCAATCATGCTTTAGGTCTTTGGTCTCAACTGTTCATTACTTGTTGTTTGTTTTTTTTTTAAGTAAAGTTCTCAAATTCTTTAAAAAGTCCCCTTCCTCCCTACTCCCTTACTCCCAAGTAATTCTAAATTAATACTCCTTGGTTCTCTGGTTGTAGTCTAGCTCCTCCATCATGAGGATTGTAAGCGCCTGTTTCTTACCACCCCCACTGGACTGTCAGCTATAGTGCGAATGAATGAGCTGTCTTGTTTCCCTAGATTTCCTGGGGATTTGCACAATATTTGGCACATAGAAAATGTGCAATAATTATTGGTTGAAAGACTGATTAAATAAAATATGTACAGAATGGGAGGTTAAAGGCCATGTGTATTGGCCTTTCTGAGTTGAAATTAGCCAGTTTGCTAAACTTATAAATATGTGGGCTAAATTCAGTTAAAACATAATTAAACCTGTTTCATATGCTAGGAAATGTATAGCATCTGCACTGATTCATTCAACATTATAATTTTTGTTTCCTGTTTCCAAAAGAGTACCTGTATTGTAGAAATGGCAAATGTTGCCGACATAAAATGTGGAGAATGAAAATTCGTTATGATTCCATTCCCCAGAAATCACCACTATGAACATCTCATTGTACATTCCTTCAAGTTTAAGCAAAAGTTTATTTATTGTATGCATTCTTTTGCTATTTTCCATTATCCTGTTATAGCTCTTAAACATTTTCCCTATAGAGCTACCTTATTTTTTTAGAGAGTGAAGTATCCCATTTTAGGACTGTTCCATAGTTAACCAATTATGTGCTGGTGGACGTTTAGGTAGTTTCTGTTTTTCTCTACTAGGAAAAGCACTGCAATGAATTTGTTGTACCTATACTTTTGCACACTTCTGTATATGTTCGATTTCCAGAAATGGAATTGCCTAGTCAAAGGGCAGGAACATTTAAAATGGTAACAGGTTGCCGAGTTACCTTCCAGGAAAGCTGTCCTAAGACGTGGTGACATATTTGGGAGGGACAGAGAGCAAAGAAGAGCCCTGAGATCACAGCCAAGCTCTGGGGGAGTACGAGCAGTGTGTGATGACCCTGCGTGTGAGGGAAGGGGGAGGGGAAGCTAAGTCAAGAGTGTGGGCACACAGCCAGTTTGATCCATCAAAAATCATCTGTAGGAACCACAAAAGCCTATAGGTAAAGTATTTTAAGCTCTCTGGAGTCACCCCAAAAGGTTGTGTTCAACCTCTGAATTTTTTTCTGTAGTTGGCATAGTCCCTTGTTCCCGTGCACCTGTCATCTGGATGTTTTCTGGGTCTCTGGCATTGGTTTGAGGGCCTGCCATATCACAGTCTTGTGGTGATCAAAAAGTCATCTTTGATGTACTTGTGCTTTGCTCTCTCACAGCACATTTATCTAATATTGTGTTCTTAGATAACACACAGGTTTCCACTTCGAATCGACATTAAAATTCCATTCCTTTCTTAGATTCCTGCTCCAAAGCGAGGAGAAGTAGTGAGACAGATTGGTGATGCCTTGCGGGAGAAGATCCAAGTACTGGGAAGCTTGGTAAAGTATTTCTGTAATAAAAATATAATACCTTGTAAGGTAATTAGGCCATTACACATTTCTTTATGAGATTATGATTTTGAAGACAAGCAGTTTATACATTTCAAAAGTCTTTTCTTTGGAGGATGAACAGGAAAAAAGTGAAGACTATTCTTGGGTTTTAAAAGTCTTCAGAAAAATAAGAACAGACTTTCTGAAGTTTATTACCTTCACGGAAAATATGTTTTGCATTTCCCTCCCTGTTAATTTAATGTTTAAAACATGAATTCTGTTGGAAAAAAAGGTGCTTGGCTTTTTGTATTTTTAGGTGTCTTTGGAGATGGGAAAAATCTTAGTGGAAGGTGTGGGAGAAGTTCAAGAGTATGTGGATATTTGCGATTATGCTGTTGGCTTATCACGGATGATCGGGGGACCCATTCTGCCTTCTGAAAGTAAGCAGTGAAGTCACTTAAGCTAAGAGTTTTGTACTCTTAATGCAGAGATTCAAACAGAATGCCTTGGCTGTGAACAGGTTGCAAAAGAGGAATGGTAGGAGGCATATAAATGTATGAACATATCCTTACTCTTTCTACTCAGACATGCAAATTAAAACAGGTGAAAATAGCAGATCAAGACACTAAAATTTTTTTTATTTTTTGAGATAAAACTCAAAAGAAAGTGTTGGCAAGGTCAAGAGACAAACACTCTTTTATAGGAACATATGGCAATGTGAATTGCCAGTCCATTTGGAAAACGATTTGGAAATAATCCAAAGAGCCTTACATTTAATACCGGTTTCAGAAATCTAATTTAAGTAAATAATCTGAAATGTGACAAAGGTTTATGTGTAAAGATGTCCATTGTGGTATCAATAGGAAACGTTATAAGTGACCTAAGTGCCAAATCATAAGACAGGTTGAGGTAATTTTGGCAGTCTGTTAACAAGTAATAAAAAATCCTGTTTATAGATTTTTCCTTCCTCATCTCCACATTTTTATGGGATGATTGTATTTACTTATTTTAAAATTATTTTAATGTTATTTTTTAAAGAGGTGATATATATTCATATCACAGAATTAGAAAGAAATAAAAGCACAAAAGATGAAAATTCTCCCTCCTACCCCCCTGGATACTCCGTAGTATCCCATGTTAGTAGCCCATGTTTCTGGTTTCTTGTATATATTTTTAGAACTTTTATTCACTTAACAGGCAAATATATGTCTTTTTGGAACACAAACATTAGCAAACTATACATTCTGTTCTATACTTTTTCGTACTTCATGGGTCTTAGAAATTGTTTTATATTATTACATTGAAGTGCTTCCTTCATCTTTTTTTAATGGCTGTCTATTCACTGTAAAGATACTATACATAATTTATTTAACCAGTTCCCACATGATGGGTGTTTAAGGTGTTTTCAGTCTTCTGCTGTTACACTATGCTGCAAGAACTATCCTTGTCCTGTGAGGAGGTTTCAGTGATGAGGATAAGGGCTTATGTGATTTGGAACACTTGCAGCTTTAATAGAGCAAAACAGGCAGCTGTGCGGGTACATTGAAAATGCGAAGGGCAGAAGTCTGCCAGAGTGGTAGCAGTCATCCCAGGGTGGCAGGATTATTGATGATTTTTATTGTCTTTCTTCCATTTTTCAGTATTTTTCAAAATTTCCATCATGGGAATTATGTTACATTTATATCAGAAATGAAAATATATAATTTTTAAAGAGTAGATTATTCATCTGTGCAGAGGCTTTTGGGGTAACTTTGACCTCTTTAATGTAATTAACACTTATTGAGTGCCTACCAGGTGCCAGGTGATCTAATTGGTGATATTTGATCAATAAGGAATAGTCTTTGTCCTCAAGAAATTTTTAAGCTTATAGATTCCTTACATTGAAGAGTGGGAGGAAAGTGGGAGATGAGTAAAGGGAAAATTATAGTAGAACACGGTAAGGCCTCAAGGAAGAGAGGGGTGGAGTGCTGGGCCAGGGGTCCTTTTAAAAAGGGAGAAAAAAAAGCGAAAGCTTAAGATGGGAGAACGTGGCTCCTTTGGGGAACAGTATTACTTTAGCATTGCTGGAGGGCACAGGCTGAGGTTGAGAGGAGGTAGGAAGGTACTTTTCCTGTTTGGACTTTATGGAGGGCAGCTGCAGTGGTGATCCAGACGACAGAGGGTTTTAAGCAAGGGAGTGATATTATCAGAGCTTCACTGACCTCTCTGGGGAGAAGGATGAAGAAGGGAGGGCAGGAGAGGAGGAGAGAAGTCCTGCCAGGAAGAGGCTGTGCCAGCACATCATCTCCACAGGGAGATTTAGGATGCCCAGACTGAAAGAGGGCCTGGCAGTCGGGTGCAGCAGCTGGTAGGTTCCCTGTTCCTAGCTAGCCGTTTGAGCATGGCCAGAAAGATGGATGGCTGAGAGCACCGCCCTTCCAGTTGGTCTGTGGTTTTTACCAGGGTTTGTGAGCCATCACTCCTGGCTTTGGTTCTTCAGTGCTCTGGCCACCTTTGATTAAAATAATCAGAGTTGCTATGAGGATCAGAGGCAAAGTGTCTTATCATTATGTTTTATAGGGTCTGGAGTAGTAATAGCTTTTGTTGTATGCTAATTAATGTGCCAATATCCTGCTGCTATGTAAAGTGATCTGCTATAAGGCATCTGGAATCCCTGCTTGGTTCTGTGCACCTTTGTTTTGCACATGAAAGATTTCAGACTTTGTTCTTAACTGGACGTGCAATAAATGAACGCACTAAAGCATGTT